CGCACCCACCCTTCTTCCGCATGGCTCCTCCTCCATTTTTTCAGGTTTTGACCTCAAAACCCTAAAAAGTGGCCATTTTCTTGGGGAGAGGTTTTGCCCTTAGATTTGTTGAAGGGGGGCACCGCAAGATGTTGATTCTCGCTCTCAAACCCTCAATCTTCTCTCTTTTCCATGATTTGGGTGCTTTTTCTCAAGATCTAGATCTAGATCTATATGGAGGAGAGAGAAATCAGATCTAGAGCTATCCGGATATCTTTTTTCCATACTGCTCTGCTTATATGCGCCATTTTCGCTATTTGTGTGTGCAAGGTGTTCGCGGTCATGGACAGGGAATGGATGTACAAGACATCGAGGCTGGATCAAGCTTACCTAGATCATGTGACAAAGTTTGTTGCCGCTGCGAAACGGCATCGTCTAAGTCTGAAGCGGGAACACACCATTTGTCCGTGTAAGAGCTACAAGAACCTTCTTGCCCACGAAGATAATGTGGTGAAATCTCACTTAGTCCGGTATGGTTTCGTCAAGGATTACACCGTCTGAAAGTTTTACAACTCTTAAAATAAAAATACACATGGTAAGCTACTAAGCTAGCTCTAATGACTAAGATGCTAAGCGAACTATCATCTTCATCAAGTAAAGTGTTAAGTTCAAACACCTAACTTTTCAAATGAAGGATATATCTTTATTTCTACTAATGATTTAATGTATATTTGAAACAAAGAGCATATAACTACCCTTATGTTAAGTTTATTTTAAAGCTACAAAAATTACAGTGACCACATAATAATATAATGAATCTACTGTAAAAATTTTAAAGCTAAAGCTATCACCATTTTGCCACAAAAATTCCTACCATATTTAACCTAATAATATCAAGCACTCTCAAATGATTTAATAGCTCCTGGTATCGACAAGTATATATATGAACTAAATACACTAACAGATAGAGCATAATTTTATGAACTTAACAAAATTGGTTTCACAATTTTTGGTTACCTACGTGATTTTATATGATTTATCAAAGATCAGCTCAGAAATACAAATGAAAAGCTATTTCTATTCTCCACGAAAAAGCTAAACTGATTTAGGCTCAACGCGGCCCACGCGGCGCAACGCGCACGCGCGCGAGCGCGCGGCGGCCCACGCACGGAGACGGCCCGCGGTGAGGAAGCCCCCGCGCGCTGGCACTCTTGCAAAAACGCCCTCACGTTATCAGAAAATAGCGCGAACACTACGCGTACTATTTCTATAGACAGCAACTTTACAATGGAACCCTCGGATCTTCTTCTCTTTAGAACGGCAAGGCCCTCGACCATCCCCATGTACGCAGGCGCGACGGCACCCAAGACGACAGTGCGACGCAGAGCAGCAGGGCGGCAGGACGGCCAGGCGCAGGTGAGCGGTGGGCGCGGCGGCTAGCGGCGTGCCCACCGCGGCCAGGCTACGGTAGCAGCAACCGGCTAGCGTGGCCACGTGCGTGCGTGCGCACGCGCGGCGCACTGATGCTGCGATGTCGGGGTAGGACGGCCTGGTGACAGCGCCCAATATAAGAACACGGCCCGAGTTCATGTTATGCACAGATTTTAAAGCGTTTGAGACGTCTAAACCGTTGATCCAATCCTCAAACCACTTTTGTTATACCTTAGGGGGCATAATAGGCTACTAAAACAAGCCATAATGCTACCCTACTCAACCCAATCTCTCACAATAAATTGCTAAATATAGCAATGTCTAGCCGTCGGCAGACTTGAAAATTTCTAAGTTTTAGAGCTGAATTTGATTTCCATTTGCGATTTCTAAGCTAGTCAAAATATTAGCTAGTAATATCATTTTTTGACCGCAAGTATTTCACTGTCATCTACAAAGTTTGTACTTCAAACTTTATTTAAGTATCACACACATGTTCTATAGCATTTTTGCTCAATAAAAATTGGTTTTAAACCCTAAGTGATATAACATGACTATCGAATCAACTTTCGCTCCGCATTTTAGTTGATCGTTTCGAGTTACAGAAATTGATCTACACACTTTATCACTCGCATTAACACATAAATTTGATGCTTATGACATGTTTTAGTAAATGATTTATGGTGTAACACCGAGGGTGTTACAAACTAGTATAAATCTTTGTCTTGTGTGCTACCATCTGATTCTATCTACGCGATCACGTTGCTGGATATTGCCGGAGCAAAATAGTCCGACACTATGTGCAATATTCATCTCCGTCGATTATTAATTATTTAAAACCTCTACTAGGGGATCTATTTACAGTCTGGTTCACTGATTGTATTTTTAATGAGGATCATTTCCCGGAATTAGAGAGAGAATTATACCAAAAGGGATACCATGAAATTGATTGGAATGCAGAAGACATTTCATTTTCTGATCTACATACTACAGAAGTTGAACTACAAGTTCAAAGAATTATTGATTTACAAAATATTACAAACAATCTGCCAGATGCTTTCTCTGATTATAAAGGTGTTACAAAGTCTCTTCATACAGCAAGGAATGTGTCCGAAAGAGTGAAGGTACATAATAAAACCACTCATCCTCGAATTGGCAAAAAGAGGGGGAGAAGCACTTCCAAGAGGCAAGATGTGATTGCTGGCAAGCAAAAGAAGACTAGAAATGCAACTCAACCATTGGTTGAAAGACACCTAGAGGACATACAATGTCCTGTGGATAGATGTGATCCACAATCTAGCTCAGTTATGTGCATAAACACTGAGGCTGGAACATCGGAAGACCCCAGATCCATCATTTCGGGAAGTCATGATGAATCTTTAAGGGTAGAAGAAATTGCTATAAATTTCATAGAGACTAGAGAGTCTTATGACCATAAATCCATAATAGTCAACATTTATTTCTCTAAACAAATTGCAAATATCCTTCAAACTGATTCAGATTCTACGTCTACGACTGAGTGCAAGAAGCGCTCGGACTGGGATAAGTGGTAGGTAGCAATTGAAATAGAGATTGCCTTGCTTTATAAAAGGGAAGTGTTTTCGGCCATAATGCCAACACCCCCTGGTATCTTCCCTATGGGATACAAATGGGTTTCTGTCCGTAAAAGGAATGAAAACAACGAAGTGGTGAGATATAAAGCAAGGCTTGTGGCACAAGGTTTTACGCAAAGACCTAGCGTTGATTTCAACAAAACTTACTCTCCGATAATGAGTGTGATAACATTCCAATACTTAATATAGCTGGCAGTACAAAATCGTCTATCTATGCAGTTGATGGACGTAGTGACTGCATACTTGTATGGGTCATTGGATTCTGATATATACATGAAAGTTCCTAATGGAATCAGTATACCGAATCCCAAGGCAAATCACAACATGTATTGCGTCAAGTTGCAGAAGCCATTATATGGCTTGAAATAGTCGGGTCGAATGTGGTACAATCGGTTAAGTGAATTCCTTAAGTTAAAGGGACACACAAATAATAATGATTGCCCATGTGTCTTCACTAAAAAATCGTCAACAGGATTTAGTATCATATCGGTGTACGTTGATGATCTTAATATCATCGGCAACGAACCCGATATTAATAAAGCACGTCATCATTTAAAGACGGAGTTTGAAATGAAAGATTTGGGTCAAACCAAATTTTGCTTGGGTTTACAACTTGAGCATTTACATTTAGGTATATTTGTATACCAAGCTGCCTATGTCCAGAAAGTATTGGAGAAATTCAATATGGACAAGTCCTATCCAACAAAACCCCGATGGTAGTGAGATCCATAGATGTTGAGAAGAATCCTTTTAGACCACGGGAAGAGGGAGAAGAGATATTGGGACCACATGTCTCATATCTTAGTGTTGTTGGAGCACTAATGTATCTTGCTAACAGCACCTGGCCGGATATAGCATTCACAGTAAATTTGCTAGCAAGACATAGTGCTACACCTACCGAACGTCATTGGGTAGAAGTCAAAACTATTTTGAGATATCTCAATGGTAGTAGAGATCTTGGACTATTCTATAGTAGAAATCAAGATCCAATTTTGTTAGGATATACAGATGCTGGTTATTTATCAGATCCCCACAATGGCAGATCACAAACAAGTTTTGTATTCTTGCAAGGTGTAACAACAATATCTTGGAAGTCTTCAAAGCAAACTCTGGTGTCTACTTTCGCCAATCATTCTAAAATAATTGCTTTATATGAAGCATCACGCGAGTGTGTATGGCTTCGCCGAATGATAAACCACATAATACAATCATGTGGTATTGGTGCACTTGAGACACCGACCATTATCTTTGAAGATAATTTGGCATGTGTTACACAAATGGAATCAGGTTATATTAAGAGTAATATGACTAAGCATATTATTCCCAAGTTGTTCTATCCCCATGAGCTCCAAAAGAATGGAGAAATTGAAATCTTGCAAACTAAGTCTTGCGATAATCTAGCAGATTTATTCATAAAATTTCTACTATACTCCACATTCCGTAAATGTGTTGAAGGCATTGGTATGAGAAGACTTAGAGATTTTCAAGAATCAAGGGGAGAATCCCTCTAAAATATAACCTGTTTCAAACATCACATTGTACTCTTTTTTTTACGTGGGTTTTACTCTTCTGGAGTTTTCTCGTGTAAAGTTTTTAATGAGGCAATGTTAACACATAGTAAATGTCATATTATCTATTTTTCCCTACAGGGGTTTTTCAAAGATAATATTTATGACATATTGATCTTTGATCAAACTAGTTTTAGACTATGTCTTTAGGACACATAAAGGGTCTATTAACACTGGGAGTTATATATATCATGGCGTTTCTCCTTTTTTTTCCCACTGGGTTTTTAAGGAGTTTTGCCTGGTATATTGGTATACTTTGGTTTTTTACCACAGGGTTTTCCAAAGCTTCAAGACGATGACTGATGAACAAACAAAGACGTCTACGGGAACCAATTGATCAGGGGGAGTATTAAGATTAAATAATTTAGTGATCAATCAGTTAATCCTATCATTAGCAACTGCTAATGATGGTTTACTGTAGAGACACCTTTAGATCCTGCAGAGACACCCTTTGGCCAACAAGCAACTGTCCATTGGGCTTGTATATATTCCTATACACTGTTCATCATCAATACACACAATCATTTTCATCCATCGACATTTTCTTTCAACAAAAATCTTCATTATATTTTCTGTTCTACCTTTTTGTATTCTCAGATCTAAAAATAGTGGTCGCAATTCTGACGAATCTCCCAGGCGACGACGCACGAGCCATGGCTTAAACATCTCTATCACCATAACTCACACCAGAGCCTCCAAAACATGATCGTCATTGCCTTATCCATCTCCTAATACTCTTAGTGCCCGTTTGGATGTAGGTATTGGGACCTTGGATTTGGCATTGGCATCTACTATCCCCCAATTCCAGTGTTCGGATGGTGTTGGAATTGCCTGGAGGAATCAGCACCCAGTATCACGGATCTTTCCCGCATGAAGGGAAGGAGCCCACCAACAATGCCGAGGCCTCCTGGTCCATATTCGATAGAATCGTTTCCCTTCCCTTCTCCGACCCTCCCCCGTGCATACCCCTTCGTCCGTGCGAAAAACAGAACGCGCCCGCAGAGAGTTCGTGAAGAGGATGGCGGTAGTGAAGAGGATGGCATGCGGCGGCGACAGGAGGTCTGCTCATCATAGCCAAGATCCACCCCTGGCTAAGGTCTGCTCGCCGCCGGCGCACTTCTCCCCAGAGTTCCGCTCGTCGCCATCGAGGTCTGGCCAAGATCTGCCTACCCCTGGCCAAGATTCGCCCACCCGCCATGGCCAAGATCCACCCGCCATGGCAGAGATCAAGCTCCCCCCGCCGTCCATCGAGGTCCGATGGTCGTGGAGGCGGGCGGTCGGGCGGCGGGGCTAGTGCACGTGAGGCGGTGGGTTGAGCTCCTCTTTGGTCGAGCCAGGGTCGAGCTCGAGCACACCCATGGTCAAGGCCAGGGTCGAGCCCCTCCATGGCCGGTCCGAGGTCGAGCTCCTCCATGGCTGAGTCGGGGTCGAGCTCGAGCTCCGCCAGGGCCGGGGCCGGGGTCGAGTTCCCCCATGGCCGGGGCCGGAGCCGCTTGCGCCTCGACCTACGCACCCAAGGTTGGGGCCAAGGCCGCCTCCGCTTTTGCACTCGAGGACGAGGCCACCTCCGCCTGCGTGCCCGGGTCGTCATGCGAGCGGTGCCGCGGTGGGGATTGGCCGATTGGGGAAGAAGACATTGAATTCCTCGATGTGTACATCCAAACAGAAATTGGCATTTGATGTGTCACTTGATTCCAGATAGAAAATTCATCTACATCCAAACAACAGATTTGGTATTTAGTCAATTTCCAATACTGGGTCTGATTACCTATAGACGATGGCAGCAACGGTGACTGGGAATGGCTGGAGTGCCAAGGAAAAAACACCGCCAAAGGCACCAACACAAACAATAGGGAGTTCCGGTCGTCCATGTATTTTTATACGTTGATGCCCCATATGTTTTTCTAAACAAGCTAGATTGAGAGTTAGGATAAGGAATTGTTGGAGTGCTTGTTATTTTCCACCGTGCCAAAGAAACACAAGGTTGGGAGTGAGTTTTACTGAACTATTGGAGATGCTTTTACATAAATACGGACTTTTACTCTGCACTCACTCCGTATCAAAGATCCTAGAGGTTTGAAATAATAAGTATTTTTTAAAACTTGACTAGGTTTAGAAAAAATAGTATCACTATTTGTTCCTCCAATAGGTCTATATTATAGAAATGCATACCATTGTTCATCTAATAATATTTTTTATATATTATAAATATTAATATCTTTTTGTATATCTTTGATCAAAGTTGAGACTAATTGACTTCTTAAAAAACGAGAATGATATTACGATATTCTTTTAAGAACGGAGATACGTTGGAGCACTTCCCAGCTATATTATGCCTCAAAGATACAGGACCGTCATGCTCTATGCCGAAGCGATCAGCGAGCGCTAGTCTTAAAGCGATCGAGTTAAACCAGCCGGACTGCCGCTAGATTGATTTAGTTGGCGACCCTGTGCGTGAGCAGCCTAGCACGAAGCTCCGCCGCGTCCACCTCCTTGACGCCACCCGCCGGGCGGTAGTAGCCGGTGACGGGGTCTGGCACCCACGGGGTCTTCTCCGCTGACACCGAGGCCGCAGCCGCGGTGTTCACCTCTTTGCCCAGCATCATGCGCTTGACCACCTTCTCCACGGCCTTCCGCCCGCTGGTCCCCTTCACCACGGCCGCGGCCACGGAGTAACCCCTCCTGCACCATCGCACGCATCACCAAGACATACATACAATTCGTTCAGAACGACGTACGGCGCGGGTTCAGAACCATCGCACAGTGCAGCTGTCTGACCTTTGTGCTATGAGGCTGGCGCAGCTTGACGCAACTCTCTCCATGGAATCGATCAGAAGCTAGTTGAGGACGAAGAAGCGCAGCTTGATGTCTCTACAGCTGTCTCTATAGATGCTGCAGGGTGGCCATTCTTTTATAGAGTGCTAGCGCGCGGGAGAGACACAAACGGGCACGGAAGGGACCAAATGATGATGTCCACGGAATCAAAGGAAGAAGGCTCTTGGAACATGTCCAAGGGGCACATGCCAGATGGCCACAAATCAAAAGCTAGCTGCCTTTTCTTGATACGTGTAGGTTTAGCACTGCGCAAAGAACAAGAGCCGCACGCTTCCTTGTGTCTCCTGACCGGCGCGCGCGGCGCCCTGCCGGCCGGTAGGTCTCGTCTCGGCTAGCATGAGGACGAAGCATCTGGATTCCCGGAGTTTGTGGCTGCCAGGGCGTGATTGGCTGATTGCGACGTTCGTTCGGCTGGGGGCGGCGCGCGCGCGGCTGAGTGGAGGCGACAAAGGTTAATATTCTGATTTGCTTACCTCTTTCAGTAGGGCTGTGTTTAGTTTTCAAAAACTTTCTTAAAAAGTGCTATAATAATCATCACATCGAATCTTGCGATACGTGTATGGAGCATTAAATGTAGACGAAAAAAAAACTAATTACACAGTTTGGTTAGAAATCGTGAGACGAACGTTTTGAGCCTAATTAGTCCATGATTGAATACTAATTACCAAATAAAAACGAAAGTGCTATAGTAACCAAATTTCCAAATTTCGCGAACTAAACATGCCGTGGTCAATCTGCAGTGCCTGCACAAAGGCCGTGATTGGTAGCTGGCCATCCCGTGCTCTGGATAGCGAGTGTGCTTGGGGAACGTCGGCTCCGGTCTGATTTTGGGGCTCGGGATTCCACCGGCTGCAGCGAGGTGCACTTGAATCTACAGGATAAGGGCCAGGACTTCCTCGCTGGCCTGGGGTGACACCGCGCCTGCAAGATTCCACAGAAGCAGGCGGCGAGCAACTTGGCCTTGCTTGTCGATCGTGCGGTGGAGGCCTTTCCGACGCGGTGGAGATCTACTGATCAAGTACGGCAGGCGGCGGGCGACTTGGTGAGGACGGAGGCGAGGGCGAGAGGTAAGGGCGTGCCGCTGCGCTGTGGGATTCAGATGCGCCGAGGCTTGTGACAGGGGCTTTCGTTGAGGACGGGGAGGGCGAGTGGCTGGGCTGCATGCGCGTCATTGGGGCGGGCGTGGTGGCGTCGGTGCGGCATCTGAGCGGTTTTTTTTTAGCGGGGCCAAGAGGGTAGGGAGCCGCGTAGACGCGCCACACCTTGCACGCCCTCCTCCGCGGCCGCGTTGCCTTGACGCTCCCGCTCGCTGTCGGCGACGTGCTGAGGCAGGTCCGCGGGCCAGAGGGAAGAGGGGAGGCTGAACTGAGCGGGGCCAAGAGGGGAGCCGCGTAGACAAGCCACCTTGCACGCTCTCCTCCACAGCCGCAGCGGCCGCGTCGCCTTGACGCTCCTGCCCGCCGCTGTCGGCGACGTGCTGCCGATGAGTTCACCGCCGCGCAGCCGCTGTTACCAGGACGTCGAGCAAGACAAGCGGTCCTCACCGCGAGCACCTCGAGACGGCCCATCATTTGAGGTAGCTATGGAGTTCGAGACGTGGACGGAGGCAGTTGCTGCTCGTTCCTGACGCGGAATTGAACTCTGCATCGTTTCGTTGTGACCGGAGAGGAGGAGCGGGGCCATGATTTGATGCAGACGATACCCTTGCATATTTTTTAGGTGTAGAGATACAAGAAGAAGTATGAGACGTGTGGGTTTGCCACAAACGCAGATCAAGCAGACCAACCAGAAACAGGATGAGAACCACAGAAGCAAGTAGGAGTTGGACACAACACAAATGATCGAGATCAGGAGGGAGACCGAATCCGTGGCAGGCAACTTGAGTTGGGACAGGATTTATTCGTGACGAGCCAACTTGTCCATATGTTTTTGACCAAAATCCTGAGGTGACCGATGATTTATCAAAGCCTAATTAAGTACTGCAGCCAAGTATTTACATCCGTCCTACATGCAATTCTAACATGATGATACTGAGTCAAACCATTTCAGATTTTATATTAAAATAGTATGTATATTTACCATTCTGCGCACAGCATCGCCGTGGATGAACGAGCTAGAAGCCGTGAAACGGTGAACGCCGGCCGACAAGCATCGCATACATGCAGTGCAGGTCGCTCCATGATCCATTCGGTGACTGACGCCAAACGTTCGGTAGCCTACTATTATACATACCATGCTGATGCTGCCGAGTGCCGAATTTTCTATTCATGGCTCATGGGCACCATGATTCAAGAGAGTAGCTAGCTAGCTGCCTTTAATTGTTAGGTCAGGTCTTCTTTACTGTTTGATCATACGCATCATGTGGTCTGCCAAAACACCAGACAGTTGCCAGTGCTATATATCTAAAGACAAGAAAGCGATAAGAGTAGCCAGCCACCCAGCGTGCCACGTCGTCTGCTTTTTGTGGCCGTTCGATCGGCCGCGCGGACGGCCTAGATCGGGCGAGCCGCGGTCATTTTTCAAAAAAACCCTTATTTTTCCGGAAATCAATCCGCGCTCCAGAGTCCCTCTCAGGATATTTTGCAAAAAACACCTCATATTATTTTGAAATCAACCCGCGGTCCAAAACGGATGGCCTCTAGGTTTTTTTTCAAAAAAACCCTTATCTTTGTCGAAAATCCGCCCGCGCTCCACAAACCCTCTCATCATTTTTTGCGAAAACCTCCTCGGATTTTTTCTCAAATCAACATACAGGCCAACTTTGATTATATCTTTTTTTTCCCAAAAAAAACGTGTGGCCAGTGGCCCGCGCGCATGGACGCGCCCGAAGGACTAGTTAGTTATGATGTTTGTTCTCAACACTAAAATAATGTGGAGGATTTTAGAAATGGAGCTTGCCTAACGTATGGATCGGTTTGGATTGGACATGTACTCTCTCTATTCTAAAATATAAAGTATATATTACAGCATTCAAAATTTATCCTAAATTATAAGGATATTCTAGGTGAATTAACATCCTCAAAGGTCCAATCGCATGCATACCTGCCATTTTATAGTTAAGAGAGGGTTGCATACGCCATTTGTATTACTTCATAATTTGTTTTAAAATTTATTGACCTTATATTTTAGGAAGGAGGGAGTATACTCAAAATAGGTGTAAATGGAAGGACATGCATGTCAGCTGCTATATACGTTGTCATGGTTGACCGAACTAGAGTTTAATATAGACATGACACGTGGATAAATGAAGCTCCACCGCTGCTTTTGATACGAAAAGCTATGGCCTCTGAACAAATGGGCAAAAGCAGATATATATAAGTGCTCTGCAAGGCCACTTGAGCAGCCGTATAGATATCTATGTGAATTATGCACTACATAAAAATGATACGTTGAAAGAGAGAGATGGACAAGGCCAAGCCACACATGAAAACAAATTTGCTTACTCCCTCCGTCCAAAAAAGAATACAATTTTAACACAGTGTCATGATTTAGTATCCTAAGTTTGATCAATTATAGATAAAAAAATATCAATATTTATAATATCAAATAAATATTATTAGATTAATTAAGAAATGTATTTTCATAATAAATTATTTTGGAGCTGTAAATATGAATAGTATTCACTAGAAATTTGGTTAAACATGAACCACTTTTGTTGACACGCAACCCGTAGTTGTATTATTTTCTAGACAGAGGAAATGGAGTACTATCCATGCTTTTATACAGAGTTGGCAGGACCGATCTGGACATGCACATATATATGTCGCTTTGAATTCGTGAAAACAAACTTGTGGACTTCAACCGTGTCGGCCCAATATTTTCCTTGTAGGCAAATACTCCCTTCATTCGAAATTACAAGTCACTTTAACTTTTTTTTAATATACATAGATTTGCTATGTGTCTAAACATATGTTATATCTAGATATATAGTAAAATTGATAAGCGATTTATAGTTTGGAACAGATGAAGTTCCCTTTAAGAGCCAAATTAAACTCTAGTATGTCTTTAATCACCGCATATTTTATTTACCTTTTGGAATTAGTGCATCCAAGTCAAAAGGAAAGCAATTCGTGGTGAATAGATGAATGAGGACGATTCGGTCACGAACACAGTTAAACGTATCGAGAAAGATTCAGGCATCGATCGATTAGTTTGGCTTATGTCAGGATATCTTGCACACAGTTGCATTTAAAATCGAGCTCCGGGATTTTCAGACATGGATGTGAAAAAATAAACGCTTTATTACGCTATATATCTTATCGAGGTGTTTTACTATCACTACCGTAGACCGACTCTTTGCCGAGTGCCAAGTGGTTTGCCGAGTGTTGTTTTCTGAACACTCAGCAAAGACGTCTTTGCCGAACATTTTTTTTACACTCGGCAAAGAAGCTATTTGCTGAGTGTTTTTTTACACTCGGTAAAGACTTTTTTTTTACACTCGGTAAAGAAGCTCTTTGCCGAGTGTTTTTTTTACACTCGGCAAAGAAAATTTTAAAGCACATTTTGAAGTAGTAAATTAATTTAAATAAAAAAGTTTTCAACTACAAAGTTGTATAATTCATCAAAATGTACAATGTTTGTTTTGGTCTTTTCTTCATATGATAAGGTAAACATAAATTTGTTCACAAATCTAACATATCTCTCTCGTAGTTTATGAAACTACAAGAGAGATATATAAGATTTGTGAATAATGTTAGAACGACCATGTTGGATGAACAGATGACCAAACAACCAATATAAACTTTGTAGATCTCGAAAAGTTATGAAACTTTATAATTGGCAACTTTTTGATTTGAAATCATCTTGTCAAGCAAAACTGTGTTTGAATTTCAAAATTTTAAAATCAGAACTTTTCAAACGACCTTGGATGAAAAAACAACCAAAATAAACATTGTAGATCTCGAAAAGTTATGAAACATTGTAGTTGACAACTTTTTTATTTGAAATCATTTTGTCATGCAAAACTATGTTTGAATTTCAAAATTTT